CACACACACACACACACACACACACACACACACACACACGCTGCCGCCACCACCACCAAGTGAACTATACTGTGGCTATTTGCAGCCAAACATCTCAGGTTCAAGTGATGCCTATACTAGGTTTTCCCAAAAGAGTTATTCACCTAGCCTCTGCCTTTACTAGTAACTAAGAGATACCTTTGGTCAAAATCCATTCAATATGCATTCAATTTCGTGCTAGGAGAGTACTGTTCTAGGGGTCAAGTATCCCAGAGGGTCAAAAGGGTCCAGAGGAAAGAAACAGGGGGATCTAAGCAGTTCTGCTCACTAGACTGATTGGAACAACAGCACACAATGGACTAGGGGGCATTCTAGTCGCAAGAGAGACCCTAATCATAAAATAAAAATCAAGTTTGTGGTCTAACAAGTCTAGGAAATACTATATTCTGAATCTATATAGCATTTCAAAATGCACATTATCATACTAAACAGGCATTCAAAGTCTTTAACTCGACAAGTCCTAAGTTTATTTGACTATGAACTTTATTTTCAGTAACACCATTTACTATTGAAACATTAGGAAATACTTGGGACTATGCTACCTTTAAGAGCTACCTAGCATCCAGTCACAAGACAACCCTTGTTTTCCCAATTGGAGAATTGCTGCTCAACAGAGTGTTAGGGTAGGAGTTAAATTAGACAGTCCAACTGTACAATAACCTGGAACTTTTACCTTAATGAAGAAAAACAGATATTGTTGAAACCAACTTAGGGAAACGCATATATTTAAGTTATGCTTAAAACGGCCCACAATCTTTATCCTTTTTATAAAAATATTTGCTATGAACTCACAACCCAACTGTGTGTCTTTTTATGTGAAAAATAAAATAGGGAGCAAAGTTATTACCTTAATATGTCACAATTACTTCTCTTTCTACCAATGATACCATTGTTCCTGTTAATTGTCAGATAATTCAAGATTTATGAGTCTGAATGAGGAATTGGAGGAGAAGGCAGGAGACTTAGTCCTCTGAAAAATTATAAACCTCCCCTAAAACATTAATAGCTTAAGCCTTTAGGAAGATATAAACATTCAATCATGTTTGAAACCACTAAGGAATTTCCTAGAATAGTATATGAAATAATACACTGAGCATGCCTACAATATATAAGAATTAATGTGCCTGCATTTGTGAGGGACCAATTGTCTATAAAAAGACTTGCATTCTATGTGTAATATGGTTACATGTATCAAAATTCCCACAAAAATAAGCTTCCCCAACATTAAAAAAAATATTTTAAAACAAAAGTGATACATTCTCTTTTTAGCTTCAAGTAGCTCCACAGACTCCATTAAATTATTCATAATCATCAAGAGGAAATCCTTGTACCATGGGCAGATCTATATTTCATATTTCTTTTACAAAAACCACTTAAAACCTTTTAATACCAACCCATGAAAAGATCTATTCAGACTTAAATGTGAATGACATTACTTGCACCTTTTTTAAAAGCAAAGAACCATAAAAAAGCTAAATAGATAACGTTTCCCTCACTCCAAAATACAATTGGTAAAAATCTCACATAGTACAAAGATATGAATTAAAGTGAAAACATTTAAGGACATACTCTTGCAAAAATTTTGGTTGAAAGGTAACTGTTCATGTACTTATTTAACACCTTGATGTTAGATTTAACTTTCTCCTCACTCATTGCATCATAGTTTAGTAGTTAAAAATGGTCACGTTTTCAAGCAGTTCTACGGCAGTGCCTTACCAGTGTAGATGCTGGCATTGGAAGCAGGGATACCAAACTGTGACTCGATGAACTTGGGAATGAAGGTAATGAAAGCAGTTACAATGGCACTCTCGGCTGTGTATGACAGACTCACAAAAAGGAATGTCATGTTGCTTAAGATCCTGACAGCTGCTCTTGGTAGGTCTACAAAATGACAAAAATGACAAATGAATGTTATAAACAATGGATGGAAAATAAAGAAAAATTGAATTGCTTTTGAAATGAACTGGAAATAGCCATTCAGCAATATTTGCAACAAGCGAACAAAAACAGAAAGGAAAAAAAAAGCCTGATGACTGATTAGAATTTAATCATTTCCTTTATTCAATAGATTTGGGGTTTTCATTTTCAACTAAGATAAGGAAACGAAAGCATCTAAAAAGGTACCTATACACAACTATTATGCAGAAGCAAGACTTGTTGTAAAACTGTTTCAAGTGAACAGTTGCATTTTGTCATTGATTAAAACTGTTATTCTATGTTAAACCCTCAAAGTTTACTCTGTGTATAAAGTCAGTATAGTACATGACACATTTTATTACCTTATAGTTTCCACTTCACCCAACTACCACTTTCTGAGGGAAAACGAACTTCAGAGTTCCTATGTTGCCCCATCCAGCATTGAGGATGCTCACAGCTGAGCAAGTGCTACAAGATGTTGGGCACTTGATTTTTGAGGCTCATTAGGAAATGTTAACGAATCGTGGTTTTCTGAGCATAAGGGACAGACCAGTCAGGCCAGATCCTCCTCGGGTAATTTGGGCTGGATGGGTGGGAGACAAAAAGAAGAGATGCCCATGGGGGAAAGAGAGCCACAGAGGTGGAGCCCAGATCAGCACCCATTAGGCTGTCTCTAGAAAGGCAGAATTACGAGCATTTGGGATGGAGGTAGAAGGTCTCATCCTTGATTCTAGGCAACGATTTCACCGAGCCTCCCCTAGGTGCTGCAAGACCTGAGTGCCTTTCCAGTGCAGCACTGTAAAAGCAAAAATTTAGAAAAACCTGATCTTGGTAGCTGTACACCCGCATGGCTATCATCCACATATCCAATGCAAAAACGCAAATGGATCCCATGATACGACATATAACACGGGGCCCATTCAAAGTTTGCCAAGAATACCCTTTATGGGTCCACGATCTACCCAGCGTTGCAAGTTGCACTGAGTATCCATGTCCTTCTGTCTCTCCCAGCAGGGGAAAGGAGCTCTAGTGGCCCTGTGGGGTAGTAGTTTGGCTGCTAGCCACAAGGTTGGTGGTTCAACCCCCACCAGCTGTTCCTTGGGATAAAGATGAAGTTGTCTGCCCCCATAAAAATGTATGCTCTCAAAAAACCCTATACAGTACAGGGTCACCATGAGTCAGAATTGATTTAATGGCAGTTTGGGCTTTAGGCAGTACCGTTTGTACTCAATTATTAACCTAAAAGTCGAGTCTGTTCTTATGCAGCAGGGCCCCGGAAGCAAGTCCTGGAAACCTGCTTCCTTTAAGACTGCAATATCGAAAACCATGTGGTGCAATCTACTCTGTTATACACGGACTCACAAATTTATCCATCAGATTCCAGTCAATGGCAACAGGGTTTTTGTTTGGTTTGGTTTGATTAAGAGCATCACGTCTGTGACTTCTCAAATGGGGTCAGAAATGTCAATAAGGGAATCAGGGTGAAGGGTACAGAGCAGTTCTAGGTGCTATTTATGAAGCTTTTATGTAAATTCAAAATAATTTCAAAAACGCAATGTGGATAAAAGTAAGTTAGTAACCAAAAAGCCCTAAGTGGTTGCCACAGGGTTGACACTACCTCAAGGAGACGGCACGTGTCTAGAGTAGCAATGTGCCCCACGGGGTGTTCAGTGGCTGAGTTTTCTGAAGCACGTCACCAGGACTTTCTTCTGAGGCACTTGTGGACTCAAATCACCAGCCTTCCAGCTAAGAGCCAAACACTAACCCATTTGCATTACTCGGGGATTTGTGTTCAATTCACATTTTGGAACAAAATAGCTAGTTTTTATGCAGAGAAATATATTTTAGATCATTTTCTTGGTGTTATTTGTAGCTGTGTCATTGTAAAATCAAAGATACTATAAGAAGCATGATGAGAAATGATGAAATAATGATAGTGATTATCATCATCTTATGATTTAGTGCTAAGAAACACTACAAATTCAGTTATAAGGTCAAGCAGGTACTAAAATCAGCAAATGTCTTAAACAGTCATAAAATAGAAATAAAAATTCATACATAGCACCAAAATCAAAGGGGATGAATTTAAAACGGATTATATGCACAAGCAATTTTTGATAGTAGTATCAATGTCATTGCCAGATGGCTTGTTCTTTTGCAAATGCCCATCAAAATTAAAATGCAATCCAGAAAAGGTAAAGGGCATACACAACATTTCATTTTTTCAGCCTACTTGAAGACGTATTCTATATTTTTCAGTCACTGACAGATTTATCTAAGTAACAAAACTTTAAATAATCCTATGGGCTAACTTCATATCATACAGCTTCTCGGTTTCGACTCCTAGTGACCCCATGCACCTACAGGAGAACAAAACACTGCCCGGTCCTGTGCTGCCATCCTCACAGTTGATTTCATGTTGTAGCCCATCAGTGCAGCCACTCTATCCTTCCATTCTGTTGGAGGTCTTCCTTGTTTCGCTACCCCTCAACTTTAACAAACATGAAGCCCTTCTGCTGACAACCTCTGCGAAATGCCAAGACCAAGTCTTGCATCCCTTGTGCTTCTAAGGAGCACTCTGGCTAGACTTCTAAGACATACTTTTAGTTCTTTTGGCATTCCATGGTGCTTTCAATAGTTGTCAGCTCTATAATTCAAAGTCATCGATTCTTCTTCAGACTTCCTTATTTGATGTTCAGCGTGCACATGCATATGAGGCATGGGAAAACACCACGGGTTGGGTCAGGCCCACCTGGGTCCCCAAAGTAACTAACAATCTGGCTTTTCAACACTTTATAGAGGTTTTGTGTAGCAGATTTATCCAAGGCAACTCATTGCTTGATCTCTTGACAGCTTCTTCCATGAGACTGGATTGTGCCTCTAAGATCATAATTAGGACTACTAATTTCGAAGTGCTAATTTGTTTTAGAAATTTTTAAACCTCTTTATCTTCTGATGTTTTTTCAGACTGCAAGAACATTTCGTTCCCACTATGTGTTGTCTCAGCAGGAGAAAGATGAGGATTTCTGCTCCCATAAAGATTTACAGCCTCAAAAACCCCATGGGGCAAGTCCCCCTGTCCTACAGGAGCAGAGGGGGCTGGGACTGACTCACGGCAATGGATTTGTGTGTTCTGTGTGCATTTGTTGTAACCTGCTCCCACTGTTTTCACATGACCGTTTGTCTGTTCAGACACGGAATTTCCAGTTTTGTTCTTTTGACTTTTTAAAATATTTAAACTGAGAGTGGGATGAAGAGTGGAGTTTGTTTTACTATTATACCAATTACTATTGGTATAGTAATAGACCAATTACTATTATGAAGCAGTTGACTGAGTATCATTACCTAGAAAATTACATTTACACTCTGCATTAATTCTAACCATTAAGTACTGAGGAAACATGCATCTTAATTTTTGTTTTTCATTATTCCTTCTATCGTTATTTTCAAACATACCATCTCTTCTGTTGAAAAATCATTTATTTGAGGTTCAGCAATACATCATTTTATTTTTATATTTAAGTTCATGTGAAATGAATACTTTTATTATAAAAATTTTAAGTGTTTATATTGGAGAATGAGATTGGAAATGAGTTTTATTTTCTTATATTTTCAAATTTTTCTTTCATGAATATGAATATATCTTATATAAAATTTTTTTAAAGCTACAATTTTAAAAGGTTCTAATAAGCATACATAGTTTTTTACTTACCCTTATAGGTCCCAACAGATGCATACTCTCCTGTGGCCTCATCCAACTACAGCGTATCACACGATGCTGCCTCTGCTGTTCCCTGTGCCTCGATCCCTACCTCACCTCCAGAGGCCTTTCCTGACCCCTCTCCAAGGAAGCCTTGGAGTCCCCAACAGTTTTCATACATGTTCATGTTTTATAACGTATCAATAAGAACCCCAACTTTTTTTAATAACAATGACTGTCCAGTCTTTTTATCTTATTTTTTGTCCCTCCCCCCCTCCCCTTTTACCCTTAGTTTCTTTGTGCCTGGTGTAAATTTTATGCCTTGTTAAAATCAGGGACAGTTTGACTTTAATCATTTGAGTGACCTTTATCTGCTTGTTCAATAGATACTTCCCTCAAATTCTAATTTTATATAAGACACTGGCAGTATCTTTTAAAAAACAAGGAAGAATTAGATTTGTTTCCAAGGACCATTTTAATGATTAAAATATGAGGGGGCATAAGAGGTTCATTGAAAAATTCCATTCTATTTTAATTCCATTTTCCCACATACATGACTGACAATATCTATCTTAGAAGGCTACTACCTTTCTTTCCTTTTCTTGCACACACTGGTACCTTCTGCAGACCTAGGAACTCAGTCTACATTATTTAAAAGTTCCAAGGAAGGCAGAGAGGAAAATAGACAGAATGTCATAATATGAATTCTTAAAATAGAGGTATGTACATTCTAAGAAGAGCCTTGTGTGGTGGGTTACCAGTGGGGCTTCTGACCCCAAGGTCAGCAGTTTGAAACCACCAGCTGCTCCACAAGAGAAAGATGAGGCTTTCTGTTCCCAGAAAGATTTACAGCCTCGGCAACCCACAGGGCAGTTCTACTCTTTCTGGTGAGCTCACTATGAGTTGGAGTAAACTCAATGGCAGTGAGGGTAAGCGAGGACTTCCCAAGAAAGCACAGAAGAGGAGAAAGGAGTTGCTGTATCAGCGGAAACATCAGGGAAAGCATCTCTCAGGGCACAAGGTGCTTTTTTTAAACCCCTTCAGAAAATTCCCTAATTCCTTGCTTTTGTAAATACATAAAGCAAGTATTTTGTTTATAAACTTTTAGTTCTATTTATTTGTTCTATTTTAAGCTCTCTGGGGCATCAAAAAGCTGGTGGAAACAGACCTTCACCATGCAAGGAAAAGTTACCTAGCTTCTTTGATGGTCTCTAAATTCTGTATGTCCGAGTGTACAGATATAACTTTCCGATGCTTACTACCC